TCTGGATTGTATTTCCCAGCAGCTTGAATGCCCTTTGTGAAATATTGCGCACCAATGAGCTTGTTATTGCAAGTGAAAGGCATGATTTTGTCATTCTGACACTTTCCCTTCCATCTCTCTGGTACTGGTGGCATTCCTTCTTCACTGAAACTCTTACTTTCCGGCCAGATTCCAGTGTCCACAACTCCAATGATGGTGCCTTCACCCTGTGAAGATGCAGGCCACAAGCCGGATTTATGGTTGAGGCCAAGAAAGTCCGGTGAGTGGGTGGTAAGCAACCGCCCAAAAGAGTCCTCGTGGATAGCTAAATGAGCAGAGTGGTTCTGAATTTCTGCTGCCTGGGTTGCAGTGAGCCTTGCACTGAAACCATGGAGGACATGATTGTAGGAGTAGAGAAAATTCTTATCAAGAACGGGATTGGATAATGATTTGAGAATAGATTGATGCCATGCCTTGTGGGTTGGGAAAGAGGCAGGCTTGTAGGAGTGGTCGATTTGAATTATGTAGTTTTTGGATTCTGGCATGGCAATTTGAAGTTGTAAAAGAAAGAAGAAGCAGAGAGCGAGATTGAAAGAAGGAGCAGCCATGGGGAAGGTGGAAAGAATGAAACAAGGAAACAGAGGAGAAGGTGAAAAGAATGAAGCAATGAAACAGAGGCGAAGAACAGAGGGTATATATAGAAAGAGAGGGAAAGAGTGAAAGAAAATATCTGTTGAGTCAAATACATACATGTATTTTGACCGTATGTATTTGTAAGTCAACAAGTAAAAATTGGGTATTTTAATTTGGGAATGAATCAGCAGTCGCCAGCCCCCGATGTGGGTTTTGCCGGTTTTGCAGGAATGATTCCTTTTCTCTGCTTTTTTCAGCTCAATTTCCTGTTATTCTTTCTAAAATACCAAAAATGATTTTGATATTTTCCTTTTCTTTTTACCGCCGTGGCTGTGTCAAGGAAGCTCAATCCATATTTAGTAATTACCACTTCGTTTTCGTTTGCAACTTTCTCTTTTTCCTGTTTTTCTGGCGTGGTTTTTGCACAAATCTCAAAAAACCCAAATATATCTCTTTTCAAACCCAAATAAAGAGCAGCCCTCTCTTATAGTAGACGCATCAAAGCGTTGCGGGTCAATTTCTTACTCACTTTGCTGCTACATATCCGCGTGATTACAAGTTTATACGCGTGTTGATTTTTATATCTGATTTAATAGTTGACCAACTTGGTTTAGCATCTTGCTACCTTCTATTAGTTGAGTATTTCTTCAAGTTCTATTTTTGCTTTGCCTTCACAGCTTGGCTAATTCAATTGTTTGCGACGTGTTATATATTTTTAAGAATTTTGCTGTTTTGGACATGTTATGTGTCTTGAAGAATTGGACTCTTTGATTTTTTGCTGATTATGAACGTTTCGTGGTGATTTTTTCTTTGCTTGTATTTTCTCTTTTTACTGATTATGGACGTTTGATGGAGATGCAAAACAAATTAGGAGATTCAAAACAAATTAGGAGATTCAATTATGTGTTTATGCACACTGTTCCATTCAAGGTAAGTTATCTACATTAAAATTAAGTAATTAATGAAAAATTATCTCATTATTAGACTCTTCAAAAAAATTAAATTTTAATTAATAAAGTAAGAAGTAAATCTCTTATCAATTAAGCTAATACTGATTGCGTGTGTGTTCTCTCCTTTACAAGGGCAACGGCTACTTTGCCAGGCGCCGAATGGGTACGGGCCTGAGGTGTCTTTGAAATCCAGGCTAAAAACCAAAGCCCACGTAAAGAACACTTCCAGGCCTCGATCTCAACCTCCCGTCAACCTGTGGGATATGACCCCAAACTGGCAAAAAGACGTCCCCCCAACCAAAATGTTTTTGGCTGAACTTACCAAATTTTATTGGTAGAACAATTCCTTAAGCCCCTCAACTTACCCCATTTGAGCTGAAGCTCCAATTTTTTCTACAAAAAATTAGGTAGATTCACCCTTCAACTCAAAGAAAGGCAGCAAATTAACCCATGCTTGACAGGCGTAACTAGTGTAGTAGTTTAAAGAAACGTGGCTGCCTTTAATGCGTTATAAGAAAATAAATTATTGTAATTTTGTCCTTTAATTAATTAAATTTTTTAAAGAGTAAGTCTCTAAACTTTAACAAAATTTTAAAACAACTCTTTTTTGAAGAGTTGAACTTTTTTATTATGAATTTGAGTTTGACATTAATTATCCTATCAAATAATATTAATCAATTAAAAAATCAAAGATATACCAAACACAAATATCAATTTTTACATTGAATTACAAGAAAAATATTTTAATTTTAATTAATTAAGGTAAGGGTATAATCTAAACTCAATTGTATTTTCAATAATAATAATCTTTCTATGTGAATAATCAATATTACATTTTTAATAATAATATCTTGTCTTATTATATTATATATTGTCCTAAAAATTGTTAAAATCCCTCTAAATCTCAAATAATTACTCAATTAATCTTTTAAAATTTTCAATAACAAATTATAATTTTAACTATAAAGACCTCAATTTGATTCCCAAAATTGATTCAGTAGATTAAGAGATGGTATTGTAAGAAGAATTAATGAAAGATGGGAGTGCTAATATAGAAGTGAAAAAGTACTAATAAAATAATGTTAAAAAAGTTGTGACTTTTAAGTGTTAACTCATAACATATATAATATAGATAAAAAGAGAGAGAAAAGAAATTAAAATAAAAAAGATATATAATGATCAACGGAGGTATGAAAAGTGATTAAAAAATAATAATATGATGAGAAAATAAGGGGAGAAATAATAATAACAAACAAATTTTAAGGAAATAAATAAAATACAATGATAAAATACATGAGAATAAGCTAAGAGATGATGT